CTGTACTTTGGGCGCTGATACAAAGGTTTTTCAGTTTGTTTGGTCCAGAATTTCAGTGTATTAGGAAACAGCCACACAGAACTTTCATCTGAGAAAATCACATTGTCCCAGTTAAAATTTCTATGCTGTAAGCACCAGTTCAACCTTCGCTCCTTTTGTTCAGGTTTCATGATCGGTGATGGAATTCCTCGACTTTTCTGCCAACCCATTGCATGCAGCTCAGTTCTAATTGTCTCCTTACAGACAGCCACAGTTCCTCTATCAATCATATCCAGCCTTAAGTTTTCTAAACTCCTTCATTTGTTTTTAGAAACAGGAATACCAACCCGCCTCCTGTCACCGACAGTCAATTTTCTGGGCCTACCTGCGCCTCCCTGGTGCTCAATGCAATATCCATTTGCTATATTTTTCAAAACACGATAAACAGTGGACAAAGGGATGCCTGTTCTACTTGAAATCACTTAAGCTGATCTGATGTCCTTGTTATAATACGCTATAATCAACTTCCTCTTCTCTAAATCATCCATGCAGAGGATCACTGAAAATGTCGTCTGCTAGCAAGTAAACAAAGGGGCATAACTCTTCACAAACTAATGAAAAAGTATTAACGGAGTTGTCTCTCTTTAATGAAAGCTAGCACTTGACAGCTGTCAAGGTTGTTTATACTAGAAATCCAATTAAACATATTCCTAAAATTCTCAATAATTTCTGGTCATACTATATCAATATGTGCTTGTCGAAGGAACGACGATTATATTTATTATCACGAATGTATTTCATGCAGATAAAGGCTCAACATATAACCAAATATATTTCCTTTCAAACATACAGAGTAAATATCTTGCACTTTAAAATCACAGACCGCCTTCATGGTTAGAGTGTCCACCCGGAGAGTGGAATGTAGTGGGTTCTATCCCTGGCCGCGCCATACCAAAAGATGTTAAAATATCGTACTTGTTGGTCCCTGCCTGGCGCTCGGCATTAATGGGTACAACAAGGACTGGTCGGCTTTGAGTCAGTATAATGTGTCTGAGTGGGGTATTCATGCTTAACGTGGCATCTCAGTGAGCTAGCACTATAAAACCAGCTTGGAAATGAAAGGAATGATATGGTGCAGTTACATTTACAAGGAAAGATTCAAGTCTGTAGTGTAAGTGAAGTGAAATTTTTTAGTTCATTTGGTTAAAAGTTCTTGAATACACATATTATAATTTGAGTATTGTGGAATATTTTGAGTACTCTCGGTGCAGTCAGCTTATGACTTTTAACCTGTACCAGTGCCTTATTGTCAGTGGAAAGTCACCTCCTGTAGTAGATTATACACAAAAAATTTATTATCGTTATAATCTATTTATACAATGCTGAGTTCCAGCTAGGCTGCTCACAGGCGCTTTGTTTTTCCCTCAGTCATAGCATGTCAATCTCAATGGCACTTCGTATTATCAATCTTAACTCCCTGGGGAGTATACACTTCTTGCAGCTACTAGGCGCCCTAAGTTTATGTACAGTGAAGTTTCCCATCCTTACGAGTTACCCATTCACAGCTGGGTGGACTGGGACACATAGTCACAGTACTCTGTCCAAATCTTACTGCACGTTGCTGTACCTGCAACTAGGTGTTTGCACGTATTCATGTGGCCACCATCTGGTCATCTACCAACAGATTCGTGGGTTCTTTTAAGTGCACATGGTTGTGTACTGTACACTAGGGGTTGTGACAACACTGAAAGAGTCTGCACACAAAGTTGACTCCAAGGTTCAACTTACCCACGTCGACATCAGTATGCTATTGACAGACTCTGGCCTCACATCTAATATTTAGTCGATATGCCACCACGTGACTCTCATATCATTGCTACACACAACTTACATTTTCCTGTTTGACCCTCGATTTACATTTCTTGAGGATTCAGTTTAACCCTGCCACAATTCTATGTGGTAATTTTGAACAATCAAAGGAATTATAGATTATAGGAATTATCAGATAATTTCATGACAATGGAAGATTAGCAATCATTCAGTCTCTGCACTTGTTATCGTCAGAGCCACTTCTCCAAGCCAGTTCCTCATCATTTTGTTTTCCCTTGGTGCAATCTGGGATAAATATTGGGTTGCACATAGCAATTTCAGGTTGCACCAGTGCAAGATCTAAATGCTTAAATCGAGCTCTGAGAAATATCCATGGTTAATATTATATCCTAAATAACCATGAAGTATAAGTCTATCTACCTGATGCAGATTGTGTACTGTATCAGCAGCTTGGTGGGCGTGATGGACTTCATGATGTTATTTACTGTGTGGCCACAGTGATTAGGATTTCTAACCATTATGTGGGGCAGTGGGTTAGCTTAGTGGTTTAAAGGCATTCACTCATCATGCTGAAGACTTGGGTTCAATTCCCCACATGGGTACAATGTGTGAAGCCCATTTCTTGTGTACCCCGCCGTGATGTTGCTTGAATATTGCTAAAAGCAGCATAAATCTAAACTCACTCACTCACTCTACCTGTATGTGGTTTTATTTGGGCTGGCTCTTGAAATAACTCACAGAGATTGATAATCGTTAACTAAATACCGTTCGGTTAAATTTGAGTAAAAAATATATAAAACATAGTCTGAAGTAGATCAAAATATTTCACATCATTGATGAGAGGTGATATATTTATGTACAAAAACAGTGCTTTGAACATACTGTTGTAAAACTGTGACCAATGATTCAATGTTATATGTCAAACTCTCATTTGCATATATGGATATTTGTACAAGACAAGAGCCACAGTGGAAGTTGATCAATAGTCAGATATTCATATTGAAAAGAGTATTAACAGGGAACATTTAATAAGCAGGGTCCCTATCCACAAAGTGTTCGTAACATTATGACCTGTCGTAACTCTATAGTTTATAATAGGCTAACGAATGTCGTAGTGCTACGAACGTTTTGTGGATCGGGCCCCCGGAAACTATTTGATTTATCAAACATTATTTGCAATCTAATTTCACTGTAGCATTGTATATATATTGACAAATCAGATTTAAATACATATAATCAGACCGTGTTGCCATGGCCTGCTTCATGAAGATGGGATGGTTCCATTGAACCCATTTGCATTTGCGCTCATGAAGTAATAAATTAGTTTCCCAGATATATGTGAATTATTTGTAATTTATTCATGGAAAACCACTCATTCATTATTTTATGTAGCTAGATGACATCTAATACTTATCTAAGTTTACAATGAAGCTAGAAATAATGATACATCTTCACAAGTGAAAATATGAAACATCTGAATCTCAGTTGCTTATAAATTCAGGTTGGGGTATCAGTGGTTCTAGGGTTGTGGAGGTGTTAGGGTTGTTGAGGTTTTAAGGTTGTGGGTTATTATGCTTGTAGGTGTATTAGGGCTGAAGGGTGACATTATGATTCTAAGGGGTTAATGGGTTGTGGGGGTATTAGGGTTGTTGAGGTTTTAGGCTTGTGGCTTTTGGTCAAGGCTTTTGGGAATACAGTGTTTGTGGAGTATTTAGGGTTCTTGGGTTGTGGGGGTATTAGTGATGCAGTGATTTTAGGGTTGTTAGGGGGGGCAAGGCTTGTCTGAGTATAGTGCTAATATGTGGGGGTATTACGGTTATAGGTTTTCTTGGGTTAGGGGGTATTAGGGATTTTAAGGTTGTGGGCCTCTAGGATAAGGGCTATTATGCTTGAAGAGGTATTAGGGCTGTGGGGATATGGGGTGGATTTTGTCCTGGATTCGGGGAGTTAGGGGGTTCTTTGGGGATATGATGATATTGTAGGAGTATTTAGCTGAGTTAACTTGGGTCCTTTGGGGTTATAGAGCTGTGAGGGTTACATATCAGTGTTATATGGGCATTACTGTTGTAACAGTATTATGATAGGGTTGTAGGAGTATTAGGCTGAGTTAGAAATTAACTGGGGTTCTTTGGGGTTATAGAGCTGTGAGGGTATCAGGGTAATATATGGGTTTTAGTGTTGTAGGGATACAAAGGTTGTAGGGTCTGATGTATGACTCTGTTTTGTTTTGCTGTACTTTAGTGTACATTTCATAACTCATAGGCCATATATTGGGTAGCTGTGGTCTATTGACATGTACATAGCTTGTTGATAACAGTTTCGCTTTCCATGTATGAATATTGCCTTTTGGTGTTATTTCCTGATTGGCTCATGTTATTTATGACAATCATGAGAAATCACTTTATATATACACAAATGAAGGACAGAGCGTGATGTCTTATCATGATCATGCTTCCATGAAATTTATGACACTGTTTGATACATGAGTTATCAGCTGCCAATCAGTGTGTATTTCCTTCAGGTAGTTAAACATCAGCCACGTGGTGAAGTACATGAAAATGCTACAGTCATTGCTTTGATATTGTGTAGTTGAAGCAAGTGAGTGAGTGAGTTAGTTTAGTTTTATGCTGATTTTAGGAATATTTCAGCGGGATCGAGACACCAGAACTGAGCTTCACACATTTTACCCTTGTGGGGAATCTAACCCGGGATCTTCGGTGTGTCAAGTGAACTCTTTATCTGCTAGGCTACTCCACAATCTGCGAAGCAGCAAGAATAACCTTTTGAGATAACGGTTCAGAATACTGATACAGTGAGAGCTGTATTTATGAACTTCATGATTTTTGAAACACGATATGACTTCATATTGTTCCATACTGCTAGAACTGGCCAATCAAAACAGATTGTGCAGCCTTGTGGATATAGCGTTGGCTTCTTGTGTTGAAGACATGGGTTTGATTCCCACAATGTGTGAAGCTCAATATCTGTCTCCCTGGGTGATAGTGCAGGGATTCTACTGAAAGTGTATGTCAAATCACAAATCATCCAGCTTGGGCATCACAAATCATCCAGCTTGTATGTGTGCAGTTATTGTAAAGATTATAGCTCAGTGTTTAAAACTTCATTTTTGGTTTTTATTTGTATCATTTCATGCCTAACATGTTCATTTACTCAGAGTTGGTCATTTTCAGGTCTATGAGAAGATGGATAACGTCATCAAACAGGGATATCTACGGAAGGCCTTTCCTTCAGAGAGGGGACTTTCCAACCTTCTTGATGTAAGCATCTCAAAGATTATATTCAGTTTATATGATCAATTACCTGGGCCATGTATGACAATGGGTCATCAACTTAGCACTAAGACAATCCTGACTGCCATTTTTAACACAGACTTACATTAGTCATAGAATGAAGGTCTTTTTGTGAAACAGGTCCCAGTCCAATTTTTCAAATTGTGTGATGACCTGGGGACAGCCTTATGTTATAATACCCTTGAAGATCCAGGTTAGATTTGGTCTTCAGCAACCCATGGTTGTCGTAAGAGCCGACGGGATCTGGTGGTCAGGCTTGCTGAATTGGTTGACAAGTGTCATCATATCATAATTGCGTAGAACGATGCACATGCTGTTGATCACTGGATCGTCTGGTCCAGACTCGATTATTTACAGACCACCGCCATGTTTATTTTGTACATTATTCTATTTACAGAAAATCGACCCCAACAAGTGGTTTGTATTTCTCGTGCGGCAAGGCAAGCCATACTTGGAATATTATGAAAAAGAGACTGATGTTTTCTCTGCGGAACCAATCAACACCTTTGACCTCTCATCCTGTAAACAAGTGACTTTCACCTTTCTGCGGAATGCCCGGATTCACACTTTCAACATTATACTTGGTGACCGGGTCATTGAACTTGCTACAACCTCCAGGTAGATATAAAAAAAAACAAAATATCACACACCAGACAAGTATCATGTACAGAGATGATTTAATTTCCTGCTCCTTCGGGACCCATGAAGATCCAGGTTAGAACTGATCTTCAGTAACCCATGCTTGTTGTAAGAGGTGACTATAACGGGATCGTGTGGTCAGACTCGCTGACTTGGTCGACACCTGTCATCGTATCCCAACTGCATAGATCCATGCTCATGATGTCGATCACTGGAGAGACTCGATTATTTACAGACCGCCGCTATATAGCTGGAATATTGCTGAGTGCGGCGTAAAACTAAACTCACTCACTCACTCACTCACTCTACTCCTTCGGGATTCCAGTTTAGAACTCATCTCCAGTAACCCGGGCTTAGAGGGGACTTAATGTACGGGTGGTTAGCCTATATGATGACATTGGTAACTCCGTGTCATGATTGGGAATATCCTGCTGATTTATCAATCTGTGAATTGCCCAAACTTGTGTGAGTGAGTGAGTTTTGTTTTACGCCCCTTTTAGCAATATGCCAGCAATGCCATGGCGGGGGACACCAGAAATGGCCTTCACACTATCTACCCATGTTGGGAATCGAACCCGGGTCTTTGGTGTTATAGTTAAGTTTGTTACACATTTTCATGATTATGATTTTCTAATCTTGTCATAAACATGTCCTATCACATCCAATTCATCTCATGCAAGTTTGTGATATGTCTTGTCTAGGTTACTGGCTCCTGTTTATTTTATTTTATCTGTTTACTTGTGTTTTCCTGTAAAATATGTTCATTTCTAAGACAAGATTGCAGTGTAGTGATTATCTAATCGTGCTCATCATTCTTAGGTCATGTCATCCACGGTCAAGTTTGTTGCACATTGTCACTGTCTTATCCTGTATCAGCAACCACTTCCTCTCTCTCACTTCCTGTCATGGTCACCATGATATCACAATGTATAATTAAAGTATTTCTTTCCTTAAAATATGAAACAATTATTTTTCCTTCTTTCAGGATGTACCCGTGAAGGTCCGGGTTAGAATATTGATCTTCAGTAACCCATGCTTGTCGTAAGAGGCGACTGACGGGATCGGGTTGGTCAGGCTCGCTGGCTTGGTTGACACATATCAATTGCACAGATTCATGCTCATGCTGTTGATCACTGGATTGTCTGGTCCAGCCTCGATTATTTACAGACCGCCGCCATATCACTGGAATATTGCTGAGTGTGGCGTAAAACTAAACTCACTCACTCATTCTTTCAGGATGACATGAACATTATCATCACTGTTATGGGTCCGTGGTCAGTACATCCATCCATCCATCCATCCATCCACACACCCACACCACCCACACACCCACCCATCCATCCATCCAACCATACACCCACCCACCCACCCATCCATCCATCCATCCATCCATCCATCCATCCACCCATCAACAATCCATCCACCCATCCATCCATCCAATCACACCCATCCATCCACACACACACACACACACACACACACACACACACACACACACACACACACACACACACACACACACACACACACACACACACACACACACATACACACACACACACACACATCCATCCATCCACACACACACACCCATCCATCCATCCATCTACCCATCCACCCACCCATCTCTCATCCATCAAGCCATCCATCCACCCAACCATCCATCCATCCACCCATCCACCCATCCATCCATCCACCCATCCATCCAGACATTCATAAACTCTCCAAGACTACTTGAATTCAATTTGCAGTTTAAACTGCAGCATGCTTATCTTTGTTGCAGGGAGATAATGATATCTTGGTGTGACTGTCTGGAAATTACACTACAACGACTTGGAATTCTAGGGGTAAGGTATCCTGTTATTGCTGTAATGTATGTATTAAAGGTCTGATAGTCACTCTCAGTGGGGGGTTTCCATGCAGAATACAACCTGAGTACTGCATGTGTGTTGTATACATCCACTACCCAAGTTTGTCATCCACCACCAATGCATGACATCCACTACCTTATGCTTGTCATCAACTACCCATGCCTGTCATCCACCACCACCCCCACCCCCAATACCTGTCATCCACCAATCCATGCTTGTCATCCATCACCCCATGCCTGTCATCCACCCACTACCCATGCTTGTCATCCACCACCCATGCCTGTCATCCACCAATCCATGCCTGTCATCCACCAATCCATGCTTGTCATCCACCACCCATGCCTGTCATCCACCAATCCATGCTTGTCATCCACCACTCTATGTTTTTCATCCACGTCTCCCCCCTCATGCCTGTCATCCACCAATCCATGCTTGTCATCCACCATCCCATGTTTGTCATCCACCACCCCATGTTTGTCATCCACCACTCCATGCTTGTCATCCACCACCCCATGTTTGTCATCCACCACCCCATGTTTGTATCCACCAAACCCATGCTTGTCACCCACCACCCATGCTTGTCATCCACCACATCATGTTTGTCATCCACCACCCCATGTTTGTCATCCACCACTCCATGCTTGTCATCCACCACCCCATGTTTGTCATCCACCACCCCATGTTTGTATCCACCAAACCCATGCTTGTCACCCACCACCCATGCTTGTCATCCACCACCTCATGCTTGTCATGAAACACCCATGCTTGTCATCCACCACCCATGCTTGTCACCCACCACCCCATGCTTGTCATCCACCACCCATGCTTGTCACCCACCACCCCATGCTTGTCACCCACCACCCATGCTTGTCACCCACCACCCATGCTTGTCATCCACCACCTCATGCTTGTCATCCAACACCCCATGCTTGTCATCCACCACCCATGCTTGTCATCCACCACCCCATGCTTGTCATCCACCACCCATGCTTGTCACCCACCACCCATGCTTGTCATCCACCACCCATGCTTGTCATCCACCACCCCATGCTTGTCACCCACCACCCATGCTTGTCACCCACCACCCATGCTTGTCATCCACCACCCCATGCTTGTCATCCACCACCCCATGCTTGTCATCCACCACCCATGCTTGTCATCCACCACCCCATGCTTGTCATCCACCACCCATGCTTGTCATCCACCACCCATGCTTGTCATCCACCACCTCATGCTTTGTCACCCATGCCATTTCACCATGCTTGTCATCCACCACCACCCATGCTTGTCATCCACACACCCATGCTTGTCATCCACCACCCCATGCTTGTCATCCACCACCCCATGCTTGTCATCCACCACCCCATGCTTGTCATCCACCACCCCATGTCTTGTCACCCACCACCCATGCTTGTCACATCCACCACCCATGCTTGTCATCCACCACCCATGCTTGTCATCCACCACCCATGCTTGTCATCCACCACCCATGCTTGTCACCCACCACCCATGCTTGTCATCTTGTCATCCACCCCATGCTTGTCATCCACCACCCCCATGCTTGTCATCTGTCATCCACCACCCATGCTTCATTCACCACCCATGCTTGTCATCCACCACCCATGCTTGTCATCGACCACCCATGCTTGTCATCCACCACCCATGCTTGTCATCAAACACCCCATGCTTGTCATCCACCACCCATGCTTGTCACCCATCCACCCATGCCATGTTGTCATCCATCCACCAATTGCTTGTCATGCTTGTCATCCACCCAATCCATGCTTGTCATCCACCACCCATGCTTGTCATCACCACCCCATGCTTGTCATCCACCACCTGTCATCCACCACCCCATGCTTGTCACCACCACCAATGTCACCACCACCCATTGTCATCCACCACCCCATGCCACCACCCATGCTTGTCACCCACCACCCATGTTGTCATCCACCACCCATGCTTTGTCATCCCCACCCCTACGTTTGTCACCCACCACCCATGCTTGTCTCCACCATCCCATGCTTGTCATCCACCACCCATGCTTGCCACCCAACTCTATGTCACTCAACCACCACCCATGTTGTCATCCATGCTTGTCATCCACCATCCCATGCTTACCATCCACCACCCATGTCACACCCACCCCTATGCTTGTCACCCACCACCCCATGCTGTCATCCACCATGCCTTCCATGCCTTGTCGTTCCACACCCTGTGTGCTTTGTCCCCACATGCTTGTCCTTGTCTCCTCCCCATGTCACTGTGTGTGTCACCCACCACCCCCATGTCACTCCCACCCATGTCCTTGGTCATCCACCACCCATGTTGCCATGCTTGTCCTTGTCATCCACCACCCCATGTGTCTCCACCATCCATGCTTGTCCATCCACTGTTGCTTGTTGTCACCCACCACCCATGCCTGTCCTTGTCTTGTCATCCACAACCGTGCTTATCCTTGCTGTGTCCCACCCACCCCATGCTGTCATCCACCATCCATGCTTGTCGTCCACCACCCCATGTCCTTGTCACCCACCACCTATGTGTCATCCAACAAACCTGTGCTTATGCTTGTGCTTGTCTTGTGCCACCCACCACCCCCATGCTTGTCTGTGTCATCCACCACCCCATGCTGTGTCGTCCATGTGTCATCTGTCTGTCACTTTGTCGTCCATGCTTGTCCTGTGTGTCCATGTGTTGTGCTCATCGTCCATGCTTGTCGTCCATGCTGTTATCCACCCTCACCCATGCTGTCCATTGCTTGTCATCCTGCTTGTCCTTGTGCTTGTTTGTCACCCACCACCCCATGCTTGTGGTCGTCCACCCGCTTGTCTATCGTCCACCCATGTGTGTCCATGCTTGTCATTGTGCTTGTCGTCCACCACCCCATGCTTGTCCTCCACCACCCCATGTGTCTGTCTGTGCTGTCATCAACACCCATGTTGTCACCCACCACCCATTTGTCCCCACCACCCCATCCATGCTGTGTCACCCACCACCCATGCTGCCTGTCCATGTCTTGTCACCCACCACCCATGCTTGTCCAACACCCATGCTGGTCGTCCACCACCCCATGCTGTCATCCACCACCCTGTCCACTGTGCTTCCACCGTCACCCATGTTTGTCATGTGCTTGTGTGTCACCCACCACCCCATGTCCATGCTTGTGTCCCCACCACCCCATTGTCCTTGTCTTCCACCACCCCATCTTGTGCTTGTCCATGCTTGTCGTCCACAACCTCATGTGGTCCGTTTTTGGCTCCTCCGACACCCCATGTTTTAGCCAGGCCCACTTGGTCCTTAGTGTTCCCCCTAGTTGGGGGGTCTGGGCACTTCATAAACTAAAAGGTCTTGGTGTATTATTGAAAATCCTAATTTCGTTGTGCTAAAGTTCTTCATCCTCATTTTGTGTTTTTTAAGATCAAAATTTGGGGCATTTCCAAGGGCGTTAATCTGTTATCCGTTTCGTTTCAGTTCCTGGTCAACAGTTCTGGTAAGTTAATATACCATATTCAAAATATTCTTATATATTAAATTTGCAATCATAATTATTAAAACAAAAATATCACACAATAATACACCTGAACGTAAGTATCTACTGTGGAGAGCTTCGACAAGGGTGTGGCTTCCCATTGTTTGAAATCGTAAAATAGTTTTACTCCTTCAAGACTTACTTTTTAATGAAATCGACACTAAACACTAAATATAAGGCTACCATGTTAAGCTGTTATGCAAGCTGTATTAACTATTTCATTTCCCAGGACAAACAACCAAATAATTCAAGATCAATTTCAAATTGCCGATGGATTCAAAATGGCGGACATTTTCGAGTTTCAGATTTTCACCTAAACAGCACAGTCACATGAATATCGGTCCCCCAAACGTACCAAAATACATCCCATGTAGTTCACACATCGTTGTCTTTAATAAATTAAGGTTTTATTTGAAAGGCATGTGAAATGGAAAGGGAAATCAACTGCCTAAAAATCACGAACTTAGAGGCACATACCTGTTAGGAGCGAAGAAATCTATTAGTTGGCGACACTTCCTTGCTTCAACCTTCACCGCTTCTTCTCTTTTCCTTTTGATTCTTTCCTTGGTAGGCATTGTGATTTGTAAAGCGAGTTAAACACATTTGACTTCGCCATGGTTTAAATGCCAATTTCCTAATCATTATCAAAACAATTTTGCGTCTCCCCTTGAAAGGGAGAGAATGCCGTCCTTAAAATACACACGGGTTGTTGTAAAATCAAGCACAGCTGAAAAAAAACTGGGATTGGGGCGAAAAGGGCAGGGCGCAAAACAAAAAGGGCTGGGCCCAAAAATCAAAGGGCAGGGCGCAGCGCCCTCCTAAATATGCCTAGGGGGAACACTACTCCAACACCCCATGTTTTGTAGCCTCCACTACCCATGCTTGTCATCCACTACCCATGCTTGTCATCCACTACCCATGCTTGTCATCCACTACCCATGCTTGTCATCCACCACCCCATGCTTGTCATCCACTACCCATGCTTGTCATCCACCACCCATGCTTGTCATCCACCACCCATGCTTGTCATCCACCACCCATGCTTGTCATCCACCACCCATGCTTGTCATCCACTACCCATGCTTGTCATCCACCACCCATGCTTGTCATCCACCACCCATGCTTGTCATCCACTACCCATGCTTGTCATCCACCACTTGTCCACTGCTTGTCATCCACTACCCATGCTTGTCATCCACTACCCATGCTTGTCATCCACCACCCATGCTTGTCATCCACTACCCATGCTTGTCATCGCTTGTCATCCACCACCTCATGCTTGTCACCCACCACCCATGCTTGTCATCCACCACCCATGCTTGTCATCCACTACCCATGCTTGTCATCCACCACCCATGCTTGTCATCCACTACCCATGCTTGTCCTCCACTACTCTGCTTGTTGGCTTTACTCAAGTTAGTCTTGTACCCTTTTTAGCTAGCTATACCCATTTAGAATTCTTGGATATAATAAGCCCCCAATAGTTTCTTGTCACACAATTATTGAATGGTTTGGTTTTCAGATTTGGTGTGACGTGGTTACATGAATGTCATTGTTCTTCAACAACACTGATCATAGCACCAAAAACTGGCTTGTCAGTCCCAGACTTCATTATTTACAGACACCATGTTATTGCTGAAACACACTGTGATCTTAAAAAGAAACAGTACAATGGTTCCATTGCAGATCATGCCTATTGTAACCATCTAATCAAACATATTGTCTATTTTCATAGCCATTTTCTTTTCAAGACTTTGCTCATTATGTCAATCAATGGTTTGTGTGGCTCTGTGGATTATTTAAGGACTACTGAAATAGTACAGTATTACACAATGAATAAACCAAATATTTATGAATGCTGAAGTCAGATTCTAAGCTCATGTTCCTTTCAACTGGACCCGTGAAGATCCGGGTTAGAATTGATCTTTTGTAACCCATGTTTGTTGCAAGAGACGAGTAACGGGATTGGGTGGTCAGGCTCGCTGACTTGGCTGACACATGTCATTGTATCCCAATTGTGAAGATCGATGCTTGCGCTGTTGATCACTGTATTGCATGGGCCAGACTCAATTATTTACAAACCGCTGCCATATAGTTGGAATATTGCTGAGTGTGGCGTAAAATTAAACTCACTCACTCACTTATGCAACATACATATCTATCATGACATGTGAGCACGTTGTTTAATTGGGCAGATTCTGTTCACAGTTTGTCCTGAAATCTCATGACGTTTGGTCCCTTTTTTCAGAAAGAAGATCATGAGCATGTCTACTCCTTCTGTCCAGCTGTCGTCAACAAGATTGGACATTCAAGCAAAGATGAGGAGGAGGATTCAAAAGAAGAGGAAGGGGCAGCAGCAGATTATTCTGTTCCAGACGAAGACATTTTCGGGACAGTAAGAGAAATGGAGAAGGCAGAAGAAACTGATAAAAAGATGACAGAAAAAGACATTCATGACTATCTTCTTCGTAAAGAAAGCAATGCAAGCCATGCTAGTGAAGATGACACGTCTGACTATTCTGGGGACTTTGTTGGCAGAGAATTCTTCCAAAAAAATCGGATTCTTTTGGGAGAAAAGAAAAGAGATTCTTTAGGAAGGTCTGCTGTTGTTAAATCAGATAGGACAAGTGTGGCAAACATTGAAACACAACCTAAAACAGTGGAGGATTCGAATAACAATACCAATAGTTTTGGCAGTGGGGACAATTGTATAGATGATCTGGATGATGGGTATTCAGAACTTGCCAACTGGAGAATGAAAGATGCAAAATTTGGGGAAGGTGGACACAATGGAATGGCTGTCTCCAAAAATCCATCACCTCCGAATCAAAAGACCACTGCTTCATCACATATCAAAAATCAGGGTTCACTCTCAGATGGTATATCAAAGGAAAAGCTTGTTGTGGACTTGCCTCAGGAAGCTTGTTGTAGCAATGACTCTGGTTGTCGACCTTTGGTAGGTGGTACAACTTCTGCAGCTGCTGCTCAAAATTCAGGATTAAGAGGTGGTGGTGCTCAGAATGCTAATGCTGTCTCAAACATGAACCAACGAGGTGAAAATCTTTATAGTGCTTTTCCTGGTGCAGAAGAGCAAGTGTTTTCTGAAACATTAACAACACAAACAGAAACGTCTTTAAAAAGTGTTGAACCGCTTCCAAGGAGTGTAGCCCCGAGTACTAAACCAATACCAAGGAGACGCACACATGTTCCCAATTCTAAAAGTGTTGATCATGGAACCACCAAGATGTTTCAGAAGTGGGAGACTTTTGACTCAGATTTCCCTTCAAAAAGAGCTCCTAATACTCCTGCTGCTTCTGCAACAAGAGACTCCATGAGCAATGGTACAAGCAACATCCCACCATTGCCACCGAGATTTGACTCGTTGCCCTCATGGTGTTCTGACTCTACTGATGATACCTTGTTCAAGAACATCCAGGAACGCCCAATGCCAAGAGTTCCATCTCCAGTGTTTAACCATATGACCCAGTCTTACACCGGACCTTCAGTGTCCAGTCAGCAAGTTCCCCCGATTCCTCCAAGAAGGGATTCAAGGGGAAACAGGGCAGCAAGCACATCAGACATTGCCCCTCCTCTCCCGGCAAGAAGGAGCCAGAGCTTTCGAATCCAACGACCGATAACGTCTCCTCCAAACTTGACAGGTGATGGTCCACAGTTTTTAGACCATCCACCACCATCACCACAAGACATTGACGACGCTGTAGTGCGGCGGCCAGATCGCCAGTTGTCCATCCGGATGAGGATGGAGAGGGGACAGAGTGCTCACACTGTGATATCATTGAAACACAATCAGATAGACATTCTTCAAGGAGAGATGTTGTCTGCTGGTGTTGCTCTTGAGCTAACTCAGAAGTCGTGTCAGGGGATTGCGTTGGTGGATATCAACAAGAAAGTTTGGTGAGTTAATTTAGTGATGCATATATGGACAAAGACTTGCAAGAGGATTGCAACTAGTAGATTCTCAACAAGAAAATTTGACGACGTGTACATGTACTCTATAGTGGTGAATACTGAGTAACTTGAAATCAAAATATACTTCTCATCAAACGTTTAGACTCACTATAGTGTAAATATAGCCACTTACTTCAGGCAACTGTTCTAAACTAAAGTTTGCAAAATATTCCATACTGTTTAGGAGTACTGTTTACACATGAACTGATGTATTGTAAAACAAATTCGTAACGTTGAAAAGATTTTGTCATGAGTTCAGTAAATGATGAAAATCAGTGATTTCTTAACAAAACTTTACACAACAACACAGCTGTTCACATGCATAATTTTTGCACATGCGTTTCAGCAATTTGATTTATATCCTTGTGTAATTCATCTGCATAAAGTTTGCAGTTGGTTCCCCCAAGTTAGTGGAGAAATCAATCTTCGATGTAGCCATATACTAGTATATATACATAACATATAGTGAGTGTTTTAAGTGAGTCTAAACTTTTGAAGAGAAGTATATGAAACCGTCTGCTTTATAACAGTTCTGATAACCTAGAAATAAGTAATGAATCATCAAACATTGTATTATTAGATCTCTTATGATTAAAAGATTTTACTGGTGTTGATTATTTTGATATAGATGCTGCAAAAAGCAATTGTGCAAACACTCTTTGTCTTCTGTGGAACTGGCAAGCGTTGGTGTGTGTCACTGATGGTACAGTCATGTTTAACTGAGGGGTTTTAAATTTTGTGATTCCATTTAGAGTGGACACCTTGTATATTTACATTATTAATATGGTTAAAAAATGTGAATATTTCTTTCATAAGATTTTGTGAAATTTCCCATCAAGTTTTGATGTTAATGGTTCCAGGATTGGAGGCTGGAATTGGAAAGACTTCCCACGTCTCCACAGCAAGTTCCATGTTGGTGACGAGTTGCTGAGCATCAACAGCCAGCCTGTAGAGAATGCCAGTTCGGCCATGAAGATCCTGAAGCACGCTTCCAAGCCGATGGAGGTCGTGGTCCGTCGCATCCCCAATGCCAGAGTTTTCGAGATCAGGAGGTCAGCAGAGGGGCAGAGTCTCGGCATCAGAAGAGAAGGAGGAACAGGGGAGGTATGGAGGGAATGAGAGAAACTTTATCTTGCAGGGAACATTAAGGCAACTTTTAGATTGTGTTAAGGTAGTTTCAGATTGCAGTATTTCGACTGTAACTTACTGGAAATGAATCAAGGATGAATATCAACCACAGGAGGGTTCTGATTGTTTCACATAAGGGATGAAATGCCTTCACAATTAAATATGGATTGCATGTTGGCAATGTCTCTATTGACTTTAAATCTGATTCTTTCTTCAATACCAAATTTTCTGAGATAATAGCATGTACTCTGTCTTGGATAATAACTTCCAGCAATATGACACTCAGTCATTCACTGGTCAGTCATTGCCATACCATGGATTCTCTGGATCATTTCTGGTGTTTCTGACATCTCAGGCCTTCTTATGAGCAGGTTGTCTTCAAGACACTTCCTGGCACTCTTCAACACTGCTGACCATCTCTATTTGCAGTACCATAGGATATATAAGGCAGTCTTCTCTAGTATAGCACACATACATGTGTCTTTATGGGTGGCTTGTGGTATTAAGTTCTTTTTCTGTAAGTTCTAGATAGTGGTGTTCCGATGATCGAAAAATAATCGAAAATTGATTGAAAGAAGGATTAAAAATAATTATCGATTGTAAAAACATATTTTCGATTAATCAGAATTTTGTTGTTTTAGTATAACACACTTGAATGAAATAAACTGACCATTAAATTTGATGAATATTCACGAACAAACATGCGCTTAACAGCATAATGCTAGGTGCATTGCATTCATAGTTTCGTATTCATCACTACGGTAAATATTGCTGTAACCTGTCTATGAATAAATTTTTCATCTATTGTGAATGTAATGAGATCTACTGATAAATATTTGTTGTATAAATAAACCGAATAATTACATTAACATTAATTAGAAGAAAAACCTGGAGAAAACCCTTATAATTGTTACATTAGGAATGTATATATTTTGATTATAATCGATAATCGTTCACCACAGATCCTTTGATAATCAATAGTGTATTTGGTTTCATATTCCCAACACTAGCGTCTGATGTGCCCAAGGGACGTAACTCTGTGTAACTTCTTGGCCACCCATGTCCCAAAAGATACCAGTACTGATATTCCAAATATTAGAAAGCAGCAAAATATAGCTGCAATATATTCTACTGTATCATAAATCCAAGATGAAATTGATTAATTGAAATACTGGTGATAGTTTATAACAGGTTCTAATTGTGTTGGAATAGAATTTTCATTTGTTAGTTTTTTGGTGTATGTGTTTCAGATTCTATATGTTGACCCAAATGGTCTGGCAGCAAAACATGGCCTTTTGTCCAGAGGGGAGTGTGTGCTGAACCCAGGCAATCTCTGTACCTGGTACATGACCGAGATAAACAGCAGACCAGTCAGCCTCTATTTTAAGGATCTTGAGGTATGGTGCCATCTTCTGACCAGAATAATCATGTCATGTTCTTTCACGCAGATGTTTCAGGTTGTGTCCTCTCATTGAGATACCCTTGTCTCTGAGTCAACCTCAACATCAGAGACCCTTTTTTCTGATGAACCTCATTGAGATACCTTTGTTTCAGACTGAACCTCATTGAGATACACTTGTTTCAGTTTGAACCTTATTGAGATAGTGCACAGTTTCAATGCTGTTGGCCTTGTTTCAGATTGAGCACAGACTGAATGTTGATCTCCTTATTTCAGATTGACCACAGACTGAATGCTGTTGGCCTTGTTTCAGATCGAGCACAGACTGAATGCTGTTGGCCTTGTTTCAGATTGAGCACAGACTGAATGTTGATCTCCTTGTTTCAGATTGAACACAGACTGAATACTGTTGGCCTCTTTTCAGATTGAACACAGACTGAATGCTGTTGGCCTCATTTCAGATTGAGCACAGACTGAATGCTGTTGGCCTCATTTCAGATTGAGCACAGACTGAATGTTGATCTCCTTGTTTCAGATTGACCACAGACTGAATGCTGTTGGCATTGTTTCAGATTGAGCACGGACTGAATGTTGATCTCCTTGTTTCAGATTGACCACAGACTGAATGCTGTTGGCCTTGTTTCAGATTGAGCACAGACTGAATGTTGATCTCCTTGTTTCAGATTGACCACAGACTGAATGCTGTTGGCATTGTTTCAGATTGAACACAGACTGAATGCTGTTGGCCTCATTTCAGATTGAGCACAGACTGAATGCTGTTGGCCTCATTTCAGATTGAGCACAGACTGAATGTTGATCTCCTTGTTTCAGATTGACCACAGACTGAATGCTGTTGGCCTTGTTTCAGATTGAGCACAGACTGAATGTTGATCTCCTTGTTTCAGATTGAGCACAGACTGAATGCTGTTGGCCTTGTTTCAGATTGAGCACAGACTGAATGTTGATCTCCTTGTTTCAGATTGACCACAGACTGAATGCTGTTGGCCTTGTTTCAGATTGAGCACAGACTGAATGCTGTTGGCCTTGTTTCAGATTGAGCACAGACTGAATGTTGATCTCCTTGTTTCAGATTGAGCACAGATTAAATGCTGTTGGTCTTGTTTCAGATTGAACACAGACTGAATGCTGTTGGCCTTGAGATATCATTTGTGGTCCAGCCGTCAGACTTCATCAATGAGATAAAGAAACAGATAAAGAAGATGAAGAATTACAAGAGCTACATCCCACAGTGATCAGTCTTAAAACTCTGCAGGATTTTATGCATTCATTTGCTTGTGATATGTGTGTAGCTATTTGATACTCTGTGCTTTCATAATGGTAAGCTTGTTATTATCACCTATTTATTTCATCTTAAGTCTTCAGTAGCTTCAGCATATAATCAGATTCTGCAGTGCTTTATGATCCCACTCTACTCTTTAGTCAGATGTGTTTATCATTTCAGAAATGTTTCAAAGTTTCCTAACATACTAGTAATTGATTTGAGAAACTGTTTGGAAACAACTTTGATTGGACTACAGATGGTCTTTATATATTCTTGGGCAGTGACTGAGTTTACTAAAGAGATAACAGACTGACTGCTGGATATTCCAGGGTTTGAAGCAGGGAGTTATTTCAGGAAAAAGTAATTGGTTCCAAAATTTGTGAAGGCCTCAGTATGTTCAAAACAGAGATCAAGTTGTTCCCTGTGTATGCTTGTGTATTTCACAGATGACATGGATACTGTTTTTCTGTCCAAAACAAAATGGTATTAGTCTTGAAGCTGTGACTCCAAACATTTTCTTACCCTGCCCCAATACTGCATAGGCAGTCCCATACAATGTTCAGCATTGAAAAACATATTTGCTCAATAATGTTTCGAAGTTTGTTTTGGTGCTTGTATTTGTTGAACAATGAGGATTGTATTTCTAAGTAATTATCACTCGTGGTTCATATTAGAACAACTAGCTAGACCTTTTCTGGTATTTAGAAAGAAGCAAAAAGGTTTCCTTTGAAGTTTTGTTTGTAAAGTTTATTACTCTGATGGACATTGCTGATAGACATGGTACATAGTGAAGCCATAAGAAACATTGCTCACAAATACAAACTTTGTTCCATCCTTCATTATCCAGAGTGTCGCGTCTCCATTTCTTAGTGTTAAATACCTTCGGACCATCCACTGCCTTTAGCTTTTCTCGAAGTCCAGGGTGACTGACGCCATGTTAAAAGTCAAATTACAGCAGTCTTTCATGACTGAAACAAAAAGCAGTGTCACTACTACTACTCTCTTCCATTCCATCTCACATACTCTTGGAAACATATGGGTAAATGAACTCATGCTAGCCTTGTGGTTAGAGTATTCATCTGTCACGCCGAAGACCTGGGTTCGATTCCCAACATGGGTCCTATGACTGAAGCCCATTTCTGGTGTCCCAGCTGTGATAGTAATTGAATATTGCTAAAACAGCGTTAAAATTCTACTCTCACTCACTCACTCACTCACTCACTCACTCACTCACTCACTCACTCACCTCACACACTCACTCACTCACTCACTCACTCACTCACTCACTCATTTATATTTCATAGTTAAACTGTCATGACATATAAAATCACTTGAAGATCTCTGCTGTGCTTGTTTTTAGGAGAATCAGTTTGGTTTGTTACTCATTCCGAACTTGTACGTGAGAGAAAGTCTGCGTTAATAATAAGATTTGGTTAATTGTTGTTGTTTTTTTAACGCCACACTCCGCAATATTCCAGCTATATGGCGGCTATAAACAATCAAGTTTGGACTAGACAATCCTGTGATCAACAGCATGAGCATCGATCTATGCAAACTGGGATACAGTGACATGTGTCAATCAAATCAGCGTGCCTGACCACCCGATCCCGTTAGTCGCCTCTAAGACAAGCATGGGTTACTAAAAGACTAGACCCGTGAAGATCCGGGGTAGAATAGGTCTTCAGCAACCCATGCTTGCCACAAAAGGTGACTACGCTTGTCATAAGAGGTGACTAACGGGATCGGGTGGTCAGGCTCTCTGACTTGGTTGAAACATGTCATCGGTTCCCAATTAGGAAGATCGATGCTCATGCTGTTGATCACTGGATTGTCTGGTCCAGACTTGATTATTTACAAACTGCTGCCATATAGCTGGAATATTGCTGAGTGCGGCGTAAAACTAAACTCACTCACTCACTCACTCACTCACTAAAGACTAATTCAAACCCGGATCTTTCATGGGTGTTAATAATAAGAAAGACCGGATGATGATGTCACATCCAGAATAAACAGATGGTGGGGGATCCGGTGTATATGTTGTTATAGGGCAGAATGGAGATAGGACATACTGGATAGTGGAAGCTGACCAAATGAAATAGCCCTCAGTGGATGTCTTTTTTATTTTGATTTCTGAAGTGGAATAGTCATGACATCAGTAGTTTGTATTTTTTCCCAAATTAGTGATAAACTGAAAAGAATCAGAGATTAACAGGTTATGAAATCTTGATAAAAGTTTTATGGAATAATTGTAAAAATATTACAATATTCCAGAATTAAAAAAGCTGTTTTTGAAAATTGTTGCTGCAGAAAGATGCAGTACTGAGCATGATACTAGGGGTGAAACGGTTCGTTCCTACCACGGTACGGTACGTATTGCGGTACAAGTGCCAAACCTTACATTGTTTAATAACATGGAAAAAAATAATCATAATCTTTGTTATTTTGAATGAACAAAACTGTCATTTTATGACTAGATAGAGGAATGGTACGAAAACCAAAAATACTGATTGTTTTTATTGCATTACGGTATACCGAAGCGAAGCCAAAATACCGCAGTTCTACTAATACCGTGGTATACCGTTTCACCCCTACATGATAAACTTTCACAATAATTATCCCCTCTAATCAAATAATTTTTAAAGGCTTTGAAATTTGAACACGGTCTGTCTATGCGAAATGATTGGTTCTGTTTCCTGCTATTGATTGATGTGTAGTTCAATCAATCTTTATTTCAGTACTTAAAAGGCCACAGGCCTGTAGTACATTTAGAGTTTACATGAGTAGATAGAAGTCATTTATAAATTCTTTTCTGCAACAATACTTTTTCTTAATCTCATAGCGAAATAGATGTACATAGATGTGTAGTTGTACATTTCAGTGTTTATTTCACCACTGCTGGTCACGTGGCTTGTATGTTGCACTTATATAAATGTGTTGGATACAAACACCAGGGTCCCATTTCAGAAAGCTACGACTATCATGTAGTATAGGAGGTACGACAGTCGAAGCTCAACTGAAATGGGGCTCTGGGTTGTATAGAACTAGTGTTATGTAATAGGTTACTGCTTGTAAGCTTACGTTATATACCAATGTTGATATTTGACCGAGATCGAAATTTATTGCTAATGGTTAATTCATCTTTCATTTTTGCTTGTAAACTTATTTTATATTTTGTTCTTCATATTTTAGACAGAACAATGGGAATGGATGTGATAGTAAAAATTCTCTGGTTCTTTTTTTGTTGATGATCCATCAGTATGTCTGGAATGAAATTCAGAGTTACCTGCCCATGTTATGTACAGCAATGGGGAAAATAGACCAACATTTGGGAATTGTACATCAGAAACAGACACATAACCAGATTGTTCAGCTTTAACTAACATTAAACTTATACAAATGCTTACATTGCACAGATTTTGATGGTACTATGAAAACCTGTCATAAACATGATAAGTGAAGCTGTGACCTCTTAATCATGAATATGTAAGTATTAGATACTTAATGTAGTGTACTTATTATTCCATAGGTGCTGAAGTGATATATTGTTATAGACGCAGAGCGTATTACCATGCAATTACATGTTTGTCTCATTTATATATACGTCAATATCAACAATCCAGTTTGATTGATTTTGCTTGAATGCACAAGATGAGAGAATCATAATGACTTCATAATAATGCCAAAATAAATTTTTGAAATTGTATGCCAAAAATTGCTAAAACCATCAATTGCTCAAGTTTCATAATATTTGCATTTTCTACTCACAGAGTCTATTTCATGGAACGTCATAATAAACCTTGTGTATTTCAGGTGTACATTTCATGTCGTACATTTCATGTTGATATCACAGCATCATGCTGAATGCCATTGTATGTCATTGACACTAGTTGTATATTTCAGTGTCTGTATGACTTTGTGTTAATCAGAAGGATGATGTCGTTATTTTGCTATGTTGTTGAACTTGTATGTAATGCAATGATAAGCAGCGTATGAAATAAGGCCCGTCCGACAGCCCGAGATGGGCTAGATTTCTGACGGATGGACTAAATTTACAGCTAGCCAGTCCGATGGTCTGCTAAATGTTTTTAGATGTTCCATACATCTGAGTAAATATTCACCATATCTTGGTGTCTGGTCTGGTTAAATCCATTTTGGACTGGTAACATTTTGAAGTTACCAGTCCTGATGTCTGGCTGGGTTTTTCGGCTTATTTCATACACTGTGATAAGGCAAGATTCTGATCTACTGAGGATAGACATTTAGACAAGTTAGATATTTCAGTGCTTGGGACCTGTTATTATCTATTTCAAATGTGGGAGTCTGTCTATATACAAATTAAATGACACTAACCAGAAACTGGTTTGGTTTGATATACTACTTGACAGTTTTTGTATTGTCTCTGATGGGTATCATGACACATTAATACATTGATACCTCCTTTAATGACAACTCTGCAATCTCGGTAACCATAGAACTGGTCTCATATATATGAGAGAAGGATTAGATAGAAAATATGTTTTATTAAATGTCACGAATCTTAAGTTTGTAATTGTGTATTTTGAACATGTTGAAAATATATACTCTAGAAGGACGATATACATCGGCAGGCAAAAGGAGGAAAATCACACTGGTTTGACTTTGCAACTTTTATCTTTGAATTATGTCTCTGGCATCTCGAATCTTCAACATGGCATAGTGTTTCATTAGTATCTATCTACAAGATGGATACTTCTTAATACTGAGCTGGTACCTGTAACGGATGGTGCCAGTTGACAGGAATGTTTGTTTAATATTTGATTTCCTATTCATTCCTTTCAACAAACTCAAAATAGTTTAGTGTTAGGTGAGAGTTCGGCCTAGTTTTTATTAACTGAAGGATTAGTTTATGTTTTGGTTGTAAACTGTAGCCACCAGAGTTATTTCCCTTTGACTGCCATCTTGCAGTAGCACTTTAGTCTGTGCTTGTTTAGAGTATTCAAAAAGTTTAATCCTGTGCAAATTTTAACTTCTGAATAAACCTGAATGATACTAGGGCTTTTCAGTTAGAGATGTCAAGGTTTCAAACAAGATTTTGCTCCACTATATTTACTTTCCACTTATTTTGCTGTTTTTGACCATGATTCCGACATTTCAGTGTTTAAACAGACCCCAGTACCAGAAGAAACATGTCCTTATAGTGAACCCTTTGGAGGTGAATGATGCAAATAAAACCAGTGTGAGGGTGTTAATTTTTGTCATCCATTCTTCATTTAGAACTGCCCTTTCACATTCATTTTGAAGCTACAGAAAGTGGAATTGCAGTTTTCTGACCTCGTACCTAAAACGATCTGATTAGCTGATTCAAAAGTTCACCAGGCCTTACCTTATATTTAGAGTTTATCTGAGCTTCATGCAGGGAGATACTAAATCCGAGCAATAGATCTGTTTTCATATGATATTCATGACTCATGCAAGATTCTAGGGCTGGGACAAGTCCAGATGTGCTATCCAGGACCCTGTTTCACAAACCGATCTTAGCCCTATGATGATCATTAGTATGGGAGTTGCGACTGCCTTAGTGCTAAGATTGCTTTGTTCAAAAGGCCCCGAATCCAGATCCACATCCAGATCCACATCCACATCCACATCCAGATCCACATCCACATCCACATCCAGATCCACATCCAGATCCACATCCACATCCACATCCACATCCACATCCACATCCAGATCCACATCCACATCCACATCCACATCCACATCCAGATCCATATCCAGATCCACATCCAGATCCACATCCACATCCACATCCAGATCCACATCCAGATCCACATCCAGATCCACATCCATCAAGTGTTCGTAACGTTACTACTAATCATCACTCTATAATTTATCATAGGGTTATAAATGTCAAAGCACTTTGAAAGTTTTAGGGATCAGAACCCAGGTACCCCATCCCTGTTGTCCAACCCTACCTGGGTACCCACTGTTGATTTCCAAAATTGGGTGCTGAATGTAAGATAGGGAATTGTTTCACCAGAGCCGTTCCACAAAGTGATCTTAGCACTACGATGATCATAAGTATGGGAATTATGATCACCTTAGCACTAAGATTGTTTTGTGGAATTGAGCCCAGGAAACCCAGCCCCTATTATCCAATCCTACCTGGGTACCCACTGTTGATGTTAGGAGCTGGGTGCTAAATGTAAGATAGGGCATGACAGAAACTATCCATATACATGTATAAACAATCTAATCATGCTTAAGTGAAGCTGACTAAAGTTTTTTCATTGCTCAAAAATATGTCGAAAGGAATGATTACATACTGTATGGTGAGGAGCTTTTGCAAAATGTTAGCGATTTAGAGTGTAACCATGGAGTTTTATTATTATTATTATTATATTTGTCACGTGATTTACCATGAGGCTGGGTAGTCAGAGGGGTAGCCGGGATCTAATCAGGATCGAGCGGACCCAAATAACCTATTTTCCAACACAGTCCTTTGAGGTTTCTCTTCGTTTTGTCTTCTTTTTGCTATCATACTGCCAAGGTCTCAATGGTTTCTTGATATTTTTGTTTTCTATAAAATGAGTTGAAGTTTTCATGTATTTTATCCAAGTTCCATTTCTATTTAACGTACAAAACATGAAATATAATTACCGGTAATACAAAATGCCTAAAATTGAAAATGATGAGGGTGAAATTCAGCATCTGTTGTCCGACCAGCTCCTGTCTCCTGTGTAACTTGTATTGGCAATATACAGCAGATTGTGTTCATGGATCTGTGGATCACACTAACAACCCACATGAAACAAATCTGTCATCATGAATTATCAAGTTACAAAAACTTATGTACAGTATATTTCATTCTTTGTTATTAAATTAACCTTTTGTCCACCTTCAGACACCTAGTATGGTAACTCAGAGTGTGTAGTGGGTCAATATTAACGTGACAAGCATGTTCCCTTTTTTGTTTCCATCAGTATATGCATTTGATATGTGTCATGTGACTACAGCTGGTTTGGTCTAGAACAAATCATTGAAATGTATATACTTGTTTAATCTTGATTTATCAAAATACACATCATGATAATAGTCAATTATTAATACGTACATTGTCTGTGAGGGTCGAAAAGAAAATTCTTGTCATTGGTATAATCTTGTATGATATATGTATGTTGTTTGTGTCAAAATGAACATTATGATTCTGTTTTTCAATATGGCAACAACGAAGATGGTGGTTTATATTTGTGCAGTGAAGTTCCTCAATCATGATTGTGCCATATGTCATAAAATGCTTCAATAATAAGTGCAACCATGTGTCATAAAATGTTTTAACCATAATTGCTTCAGTGTGTCATACTCTGCTTCAATCATGATTGCTCCATTGTGTATTGATATGTTTCAGTCATGATTGCTATGATGTGTCTAAATGTGCTTCAATCATTATTGCTTCTATGTGTCAAAATGTGCTTCAATCATGATTGCTTCATTGTGTCATAATGCTTCAACATGATTGTTTCATTGTGTCAAAACATCCTTTAATCATGATTGCTTCAATGTATTATAATGTTTCAATCATGATTGCTTCATTGTGTCATAATATGCTTCTATCATGGTTGCTGCATTGTATCATAATATGCTTCAATCATGATTGCTTCAATGTGTCATATGATCCAAGATACTTTTTTGTGTCATTAAATGTTTCAATCCTAATTGTTTCCAAGTATCATAACATATTCATGTAATATATATGTTGTCTCATGATATTAGCTTCTATCACAACTTAATATATGTAAACATTGAAGATGTACATAATACTTTTAAGATCTTTTTTGCAACCCTGAGTTTTGGGTGTTGATTGAGAGGGAGTATGGTACTTTTTATATAAAAACAGCTTTTAGATAATTAAATCATGACCTCAACCTCATTTTAATATTTCAGGATTTTTTGACAAATTTACCTTTTTTATTGTTTGATGTTGATTGACATGTAACGATTTGTGGTCACAAAAAGTGGACCCTTGATGTCTGTTGACCCAGAGTTTAGACAAAGAACAGTTGGGAGTATGAGTTAAGGTTTTTGTCATTATCAAAATCATTATCAGTAATCAGTAATTGTTTATTCATTCTTGTTTTCATATTGGAATTGTAAAAAATGTCATGTTTGGATATGTCAACTGAGGGAATATTTTTGGAATGCTTTGAAGTACACAATGCCATTTAGTGAGTGGTCAAATGTAACACGTTATATTTGTGTATTCATAGCTGTCGGACTTGGGAGCCGTGCCAATTTGCACTCATCAGAGGGATACACGAAGTCTGTGGTCTAGACTACCAGTTGTCCGACTTCCTTTTGTGAAAGTAGCGGTGGCTGAGTGAGCTAGGCGGCTGACTTGGTGTACTGCATGGTGATTAGGTGACTGACTCTGAGAGTGTGGGTTCAAATCCCAGATGGGACTCAACCCAACAAAAGTACTGGAATCTGTACTTTACTGAGAAAGTGTAATCCCAAATATAACATATGTTACAAGGACCTTGAAGGGTTGATGATTGAAAATAATACGTTTTATCACCTGGCCACTTTTTCTAAATGTCTTGTTGCTCTTAACTGTTTGACAATGTTTGTGAGGGTGGATTTTAAAAAAAAGCATGATCAATAAAAAATGTAATATTTTTACCATAAATTACAAGCCATGATTACTTAGAAATATTAGATAAACATTTAACGCTCTTGCTTCCCTGGTAATTATTGAGGAGGCATGGAAAGTTATATATTCTGAAAACATTTTGGGAACAAGACATTTTTGTGTAGCCTTGTCTCTGTAATTTTTTAGAAACATTTTAGAAAGAAGTGTAATCATCACAAACATGTATTTGGAGATGTGTATTGGATGTATTTGTAATGGGCTGGCCAATTAATATTCAGGGTGGATGGGTAGGGGAGTGTTAGTTTGGATTTATAAAATAACCTATGATTATCTGATCCCAAAAAGTTTTGAAAAAAAAGTTGACCACAAATAAAACAATATGTTCCTTCAACATGAAGAATATTTGACATTAGGATATGCTGTGTGTTCAATGCAAATGATTGTTTGGTTCCCCATTTCACAGAAAACATTGTATGTTTTTAAGTTGGTTGTTATTTTAACGCCACACTCAGCAATATTCCAGCTATATTGGGGGTAAGTCTTGAAGGGCTGACTGACAAAATTATCCCATTCTCACTGAATATTCAATGCTCAGTTCCAAAGCATCACAATTATATTTCTTCAGCTGATAACTAATATTATTCATCAGGTTTCATTAGTCCTTATTCAAACATTTAAAAGAAATTTATGTACCTTTGGAATGCACAAATATGAAGGCAGCCATGTTTTTGAAAAATACTTTTTCTTGAAATGTGCATGTGTTACGGTGAAAGGGAGTTTAAGGTTTGTGGAACGAACCTACATTAATGGAAATATTGTTATATTTAATATAACAATATCAATTTCTTTTGTACATAGCAACTTAGGGGGTTGTATCGAGATGTCATATTTGCAAAAAAAGATAAATGTTGAAATACCTCTTTTGAAAATAATCAGCTTTTCACAATGTGCTCTTTTATTTAGCACCTTTGAGAAACAGTTTGCATTATTTAAAGTTATCAGGGGTTGATTTGAGAACAATTAATAATTTTCAAAATCATTAAAAATGGTTCGCCTTATCTTATAATTATTATTACACTTCTCCCAAGGAGTCAAAGACTACAGATTCTTTCATATTACTTTATATGTTCACGCTGCCATGGTAACCATAGCAATATGAAAGACTCTGGTTGTCATGAACTTTTGGAGTTGTATCTCATAAAAAAGACTTTGCTGAAGCCGGTTTCTACCTTGCTAACTATAATTTGTCAATATTTGTTTAAGGTGTTTTTTGAAAACATGCCCCCTAATATTTCCTTTTCTTGCTATTGTGAGCTCATGATTGCTATTTTTATATGAAATTCATATCATAAGTGTATGTCTACACAATGTCTAGTGGTAGCTTCACGCTGATGTCAAACCTGATTGTCTTTCAGTGATTTCACAACACTGCAGATAGTTACACAGCTTAGTGGTGGGCAGTCGTTTCCACAATATTCCACTCAATCTTTCTTGATGTTGAACATCATGGCCATTGAATGGCCTCTTGCACATACAGCTTTTGGTGATTTGAAACAGTAGAACCGATATGTGATATAATCCCTTTACAGTATAATATGTTCGATGAAAACAGTATCAGTTTGAATGAGAAATATCTTACAACACCCAAGGAACTGGAAATCAATTTTCAATGACGGACTAATATCGCACCTCAGAAACAATAGTTATTTGGGGTTAATTTCGGACAACTGATTGACATCACTTACCAGATTGGTACACTAAACAATGTAAGTTCCATCTGAAAATATTTTAAACAAATTCCATGGACTAAAATTGTACCTCAGAATGATGGTTATTTGGGATTAATTTGGAATAACCAATTGACATCTTTTACCATATGCGCACATGAAATAATATTGGCGCCATCTGAAAATGTTTTGAACAAATTCTAGGGAACCATTTGCCTTCAAACAACCAGAAGCTCTCGAGGAGGCTGGTTGCATTGGGTGTTAATTGTAACACGTTTCAGAGTTTTATATGTTGGGTTGTGGGCTTTGTAAGGACAAATCTTGGCCTGTAGGCCTTATAGTATAGCATTGATGGGGGTTCCTGACTTCATCACTTCGGGATGTCTGTGGAAACGGTTGTCTCATACATCCAGGTTCAGTGAAAGGTGTAGATGGTGGCATTAAAAATGCTAGTGGTTTCATTGCTTACATTTGGTGCAGAATTTAGTTGAATAGAATGTGTTGCTATTTTGAGTCGTTGTTGAATAAATTGCTTGACAGGATTAGCATTTGTTTTCATTGGAATATTCAACAACTGATCCTTTTTGCAAAGGTCCAAATTATGCTTCCATGGAATTGTTAGAATCCCACCTGAAAGGGTGAATGTTTAGCGCTGCTCTCTGCAATTGTACAGTTATATGGCGGTGGTCTGTAAGTAATCTAGTCTGGACCAGATCATGATCATCGATCTACGGAATTGGAATACGATGACGTGTGAACCACGTCAGCGAGGATGGACACCCATTAGTCATCGCTCAGAATAAGTAAGGGTTGCTGGAGAATTCTGGATCGTCATGGGTGCATAACACACTATAATAATACCCTGTTCAACATAGAAAGATTTATAGAAGCAAATGAAATGTTGATTTCATTGCACATTCGAATGTTATGACACACAATTATAGTTTGGCATGAAATGCATGTGGACCCGTTTTTTGTAAATATCTCTTCATCCAATGACCCAATCGATTTCAAACTGTGCAAGTGGATGTTTTGTCAGACAACCTAATCACATTGTAAATCACCGATTTTATGCATTTGTATTAAAGAATCTGTCTATGTAACTGTCAACAAAATAAATTGCAGAATGCAAACTGCTTGCAGAGGGAGGGAGCCAATGACCTGTAACAGTGGCAGTGTTGGGTCATAAAGGTCATCGTTCGTCAATGTAGGTCAGCTATGCACGTGACAGGTATGAAGAAGTGTTAATTTCTAGCAAATAGCCGGCGAATGACATCTCTGATGACCCTGATGTTAAAAGAATCTAACTTTGGATGCCTACCTTTTTGTACAAGGTTTTGTTTATTGGTTGTTGGTTTATTTTTCACAATTTTTAGCACGATGTTCTTTTTCATGCCAAGAGCAAAAGTTGTACGTTTCATGTGATCCGACACCTTATAAATCGGTTTGCTACGTTTGCTCTCTTTTAAAAAAAAATTAAACACATTTCTAATTAAACGTTTAGCATCATCTGAATAAGCTTTCATGATGACAGCTAGAAGTAGTCAATGTGAATAATCCAAACGGTCTATCACTGTGCAGTGCACAGGTAACTATCATGAACTGCACGTGCATTTACCTTTATGACCCAACACTGCCACTGTTACAGGTCATTGGCTCCCTCCCTCTGCAAACAGTCTGCGGTCTGCTGTTTATTTTGTTGACAGTTACATAGACAGATTCTTTAATACAAATGCATAAAATCGGTGATTTACAATGTGATTAGGTTGTCTGACAAAACATCCACTTGCACAGTTTGAAATCGATTGGGTCATTGGATGAAGAGATATTTTAAAAAAAACGGGTCCACATGCATTTCATGCCAAACTATACTTGTTGGTTGTTTAACACCGCACTCAGCAATATTTCTGCTATATGGCGGCGGTAAGTAAATAATCCAGCCTGGACCAGACAATCCAGTGAACATGAGCATCGTTCTATGCAATTGGGGTACGATGATGTGTCACCCACTTCAGCGAGTCTGACAACCCGATCCGTTAGTCGCCTCTCAAGACAAGCATGGGTTACTGAAGACCAATTTTAACCCGGATCTTTACATGTATGTGTACAGGAAGACATCTGAGTAATATCCCAGAAGCCTTTTGATAACTGAACCTGTCCAAGGACAGCAAGAGATTGATCATGAAGCATACAACTTTATGGATAACTTCTTGTTTATTGCACAGAACGACCTTCTGATGAAGATTATGACACCATTATCAAGCTAAAGTGACTACATCCAAGTGAAAAGAGGTATGTGTGTACAGTATGTTGTGACAAGAGGTGTGTGTGTACAGTATGTTGTGACAAGAGGTATGTGCATACAGTATGTTGTGACAAGAGGTATGTGTGTACAGTATGTTGTGACAGGAGGTATGTGTGTACAGTATGTTGTGATAAAAGGTATGTGTGTACAGTGTGTTGTGACCAGCAATGTGTGTGTACAGTATGTTGTGACAAGATGTATGTGTGTACAGTATGTTGTGACAAGAGGTATGTGTGTACAGTATGCTGTGACAAGAGGTATGTGTGTACAGTATGCTGTGACAAGAGGTGTGTGTGTACAGTATGTTGTGAAAAGAGGTATGTGTGTACAGTTTGTTGTGACAAGAGGTATGTGTGTACCGTATGTTGTGACAAGAGGTGTGTGTGTACAGTATGTTGTGACAAGAGGTATGTGTGTACAGTATGTTGTGACAAGAGGTATCTGTGTACAGTATGTTGTGACAAGAGGTGTGTGTGTACAGTATGTTGTGACAAGAGGTATGTGTGTACAGTATGTTGTGACAAGAGGTATGTGTGTACAGTATGTTGTGACAAGAGGTATGTGTGTACAGTATGTTGTGACAAGAGGTATGTGTGTACAGTATGTTGTGATAAGAGGTGTGTGTACAGTATGTTGTGACATGAGGTATGTGTGTACAGTATGTTGTGACAAGAGGTATGTGTGTACAGTATGTTGTGACAAGAGGTATGTGTGTACAGTATGTTGTGACAAAAGAGGTATGTGTGTACAGTATGTTGTGACAAGAGGTATCTGTGTACAGTATGTTGTGACAAGAGGTGTGTGTGTACAGTATGTTGTGACAAGAGGTATGTGTGTACAGTATGTTGTGACAAGAGGTATGTGTGTACAGTATGTTGTGACAAGAGGCATGTGTGTACAGTATGTTGTGACAAGAGGTGTGTGTGTACAGTATGTTGTGATAAGAGGTGTGTGTACAGTATGTTGTGACAAGAGGTGAGTGTGTGTACAGTATGTTGTGACAAGAGGTATGTGTGTACAGTATGTTGTGACAAGAGGTATGTGTGTACAGTATGTTGTGACAAGAGGTATGTGTGTACAGTATGTTGTGACAAGAGGTATGTGTGTACAGTATGTTGTGACAAGAGGTATGTGTGTACAGTATGTTGTGACAAGAGGTATGTGTACAGTATGTTGTGACAAGAGGTGTGTGTGTGTGTACAGTATGTTGTGACAAAGGGGTGTGTGTACAGTATGTTGTGACAAGAGGTATGTGTGTACAGTATGTTGTGACCAGAGGTGTGTGTGTACAGTATGTTGTGACAAGAGGTGTGTGTACAGTATGTTGTGACAAGAGGTATGTGTGTACAGTATGTTGTGACAAGAGGTGCGTGTGTACAGTATGTTGTGACAAGAGGCGTGTATGTGTACAGTATGTTGTGACAAGAGGTGTGTGTGTGTACACAGTATGTTTGTGACAAGAGGTGTGTGTGTATGTTGTGACAGTATGTTGTGACAAGAGGTGTGTGTGTGTACAGTATGTTGTGACAAAGAGGTGTGTGTGTGTACAGTATGTTGTGACAAGAGGTGTGTGTGTACAGTATGTTGTGACAAGAGGTATGTGTGTACAGTATGTTGTGACAAGAGGTATGTGTGTACAGTATGTTGTGACAAGAGGTATGTGTGTACAGTATGTTGTGACAAGAGGTATGTGTGTACAGTATGTTGTGACAAGAGGTGTGTGTGTACAGTATGTTGTGACAAAAGGTATGTGTGTGTACAGTATGTTCTGACAAGAGGTATGTGTGTACAGTATGTTGTGACAAGAAGCATGTGTGTACAGTATGTTGTGACAAGAGGTGTGTGTGTACAGTATGTTGTGATAAGAGGTGTGTGTACAGTGTGTTGTGACATGAGGTGAGTGTGTACAGTATGTTGTGACAAGAGGTATGTGTGTACAGTATGTCGTGACAAGAGGTATGTGTGTACAGTATGTTGTGACAAGAGGTATGTGTGTACAGTATGTTGTGACAAGAGGTATGTGTGTACAGTATGTTGTGACAAGAGGTATGTGTACAGTATGTTGTGACAAGAGGTGTGTGTGTACAGTATGTTGTGACAAGAGGTGTGTGTGTACAGTATGTTGTGACAAGAGGTATGTGTGTACAGTATGTTGTGACAAGAGGTGTGTGTGTACAGTATGTTGTGACAAGAGGTATGTGTGTACAGTATGTTCTGTCAAGAGGTATGTGTGTACAGTATGTTGTGACAAAGGTGTGTGTACAGTATGTTGTGACAAAGAGGTGTGTGTGTACAGTATGTTGTGATAAGAGGTGTGTGTGTACAGTATGTTGTGACATGAGGTGAGTGTCTACAGTATGTTGTGACAAAGAGGTATGTGTGTACAGTATGTCGTGACAAGAGGTATGTGTGTACAGTATGTTGTGACAAGAGGTATGTGTGTACAGTATGTTGTGACAAGAGGTATATGTGTGTACAGTATGTTGTGACAAGAGGTATGTGTACAGTATGTTGTGACAAGAGGTGTGTGTGTACAGTATGTTGTGACAAGAGGTATGTGTGTACAGTATGTTGTGACCAGAGGTGTGTGTGTACAGTATGTTGTGACAAGAGGTGTGTGTGTACAGTATGTTGTGACAAGAGGTATGTGTGTACAGTATGTTGTGACAAGAGGTGCGTGTGTACAGTATGTTGTGACAAGAGGCGTGTATGTGTAAAGTATGTTGTGACAAGAGGTATGTGTGTACAGTATGTTGTGACAAGAGGTGTGTGTGTACAGTATGTTGTGACAAGAGGTGTGTGTACAGCATGTTGCGATAAGACAAGAGGTATGTGTGTACAGTATGTTGTGACGAGGCGTGTGTGTAGAATATGTTGTGACAAGAGGTATGTGTGTACAGTATGTTGTGACGAGGCGTGTGTGTACAATATGTTATGACAAGAGGTATGTGTGTACAGTTTGTTGTGACAAGAGGCATGTGTGTACAGTATGTTGTGATAAGACGAGGTATGTGTGTACAGTATGCTGTGACAAGAGGTATGTGTGTACAATATGTTGTGACAAGGGGTATGTGTGTACAGTTTGTTGTGACAAGAGGTATGTGTGTACCGTATGTTGTGACAAGAGGTATGTGTGTACAGTATGTTGTGACAAGAGGTATGTGTGTACAGTATGTTGTGACAAGAGGTGTGTGTACAGTATGTTGTGACAAGAGGTGTGTGTGTACAGTATGTTGT